TCTTCATTGGGCAGCATGGTAGATCTAAGAACATTGGACGAGACGGTGGCTCTACTTCGGGTGAGACATTAGTCAACTTTGCATCACGCCCCGTCATAAGGGCTAATTAGCCAGTGTATCGGATGATTTAGCCAGCATAGGAAGAAATTAGCATGGAAGAGCGAATAGTGTCATTTGTCTCCTCAGTAGTTTTCTTCAAATATGTCTTAGGAATCGACTTTTTTAACTACTCAGCCATCTCACCCTAGTGATTTCTTCTTCCTCCTACCACCCAGCTCGGCATCTCTCTCCCCTTCCCACGATCGCCCCCGGGGCCTCTGTAACCCCTCCACCCCTCCCCCTCCTGTGGAACACATAACGCGTCGCCGGGGGGCGGCGGGCCCGCCTCTCTCGGCCCGCTCGGCGGCTCTTCTGAGCCATCAGGGCGGCGGGCTCTTCCCTGCAGCGGCCGCCTGATCGCTCCCTGCAAGGCCAGCGTGGACCGGCCGAGCGGCGCTCAACACCAGGAGCCGGGCGCAGACTTTTATCACCTCTCAAGACCGGCGGATGGCGCCGGCGCCAATTACGCTGCAGATGAGCGCCAACAGGCATGGGGAAGTGCGGCCGGGCAGCCGGGCTGTGCCAGGCGAGCTCCACCACTGGCCTCGGCCCGCAGAACATCAATTTCTCCGCAAACAATGCCATGTGTGCACTGTGCAGTGGTATAGCGACATCCGTCAATGAAATTATTACTTACATAACCGGGCATCGGCTCACCGCGCGAAAATAATTCCAGCTGAACAACTTCAATGCCTTTGAAGAGGAGGATTTTCCTGTCCTACCGACGGCGTTACCGGCTCTTGCCGCCGCATTTCGTGGAAGAGGACAGAGCGCCCGTCCAACGGTCTCTCCTCAGACTCGCGTCGCGCTCCTGTTGGACACTTTTCTGCGTGCCGACAGCGTCTGCAGCGGCGACAGTTTACCTGAGACCGTGCACGGTACCAGTGCACCCCTGTCAGTGCAGTAGAGCGCACCCCAAGTGCAAAGAGCCGGCCACCCTGGAGCACCTGGACTGCGCTCAACGCCGGCGCCGGGCCAGGTGGCACGCGGCAAAAGCGACGCGCCGGTTTGCCTCCTGAGCCGAACGCTGCGCGCCAGTTTCCCTCTCGCAGCTATGTCCGGGAAAACGTCCCCTCCTTGACCTGGCTGGCCGACCGGGTTTGTTGGAGTAGGAGGCCGGCGAGTACTAGTGAAGGAGGAAGAGAGAGAGAGGAATAGGGAGAGACAAGCAGAAGAAGAAGAAGAAGAAGAAGAAGAAGAAGAAGAAGAAGAAGAAGAAGAAGAAGAAGAAGATGAAGATGAAGATAAAGAAGAAAAAGAGGAAGGAGAAGAAGCGGAAGAAGAAAGAGGAAGGAGAAGAAGAGGAAGAAGAAAGAGGAAGGAGAAGAAGAGGAGTGCCTAGTGCCTACCCTCTTTGAGATCATGCCTTATTCAAAGGACATGACAATGTTGCAGAAAAAGCGAATATGTGAAAAAATATCAACAAGACGAAGAACAGATGGCTGGAAGAAGTTGATGTAGAGAAAGAGGTAGACAGAGAAAGAGGTAGACAGAGGAAGCACATGGCAACCAGCAGGCTCCGACCGGCGTGTCATGAAGCATGGCGGGCCACCCGGATATCGCCAGCGATAGACAGGTAGGTGGCTCGGCCACAGCAAGACGTAAATCTAGCTAAAATAACACGCTACCTTCGAAAAGAACGCCTTAATTTGTGTTCCGATTGCCGACATGCAATCATACCACCAAAAATACTACAACGTTTCTGCGAAGCCATCTGTCTGCAATTTGCTGAAAGATGCAATGATTGGTATTATAAATAATTACATTCTACGTGGGGCTCGCTTCGGTAGCCAAGTCCGAAAAGTACGCTTACGCGTGGGTAAATGGCTCTGGTCTTCTCAACATGGGCTCATACGGCACGACTCAGCCGCCGCTTGGATGCAATAATTGAAACATATTGTATAATAATGATGGGGTGGCGCTGGCAATTTCCATGCGTCTAGTTAACCAACCGCTCGGCACCCGTCATGTCTCATGAATGCATGACTTGGTAACTAGCAGTTAACAACGGTAGCCCGTATTCATCAACGTTCAGTAACAGCATCCTCAATTGAAGCCGGAAGGGCCCGGGTAGCTTAGCAGACCTTCCACGGCCAACCGCTGTGGAAGCAGACAGTGGACTGAACTGAACATTTGTGTTGTTTATCGGGCTATGCAACTGATGCTCCTTCCTAAAGTTCAACTAAAACATCACTTTTATTCAGGTACTGGCTAGCTTCATCTCATAGCTGCAAGACCCAGAAGACATAACGCCTCCCTCGTAGCTCTCTTCCCCGACCCACCCCGCAGTAGGTACCAACGTCTGCTCGGCTTCATGCGCTGCGCCTGGCCGGCCCGTCTCTCCGCCTCGCCCCGGGGCCCTCATTGGACACTCGTAAATCGTCGGAGAACAGCGTCTGTTCGCCAAACCCGACCGGCGTGCCCGTCTGCCAATCACGCCTCTGCGCGGAACACGGCGCGTCCTGCAATTGACGGGGTGAGCGAGCAGGGACGCCCCGACGGCGATCCCCCCGGCGGCCGAGGAAATTTCAGGGCAGCGCGCAGGTTTCAAGTGAAACTCTGCTCTCCGCTTCTAAGCATCCGTTGCAAGAAGGTGGTGGGATACATAATTTCTCGAAAGTCAAATACTGAGACATAGACGCAGGTGTATGTGGTGATGAATCGATGCAAAAGCTGGTGCACAAGAAAGGCGACTTTGGAGCAGAATCGACGGAGGACTTTCCAGAGCACATCGGCCGTCTTCTTGAAAATCAACACCATTACTCACTTACCAAAGGGAATTCCTGGCTGAAATATTCAGGCAAACCAAGCAGACTAGCATGAAGCCGCCATAATCTTTACAATGACACGAAATGATCGATCATGAGTACCACGGTATGGCACCAGGTCTTGGTACTCCATCAATTCTGATTTCGCATAACCTCATGCCGACATTAATGGGTCTTATGCGATTGGTACATTGTCTTATAGTTTGCCCAATTATACCATTTTCTAGTAAATTTATTCGTGATTATATTCATTTTTTTTGCTAGTTTTGATATACAGATTAGATTGATAAGGAAAAAAAATATTGGCACCGATGATTTTTGGCGACTGCAGAGTCCATGTACTTGCAACTATACCACATGAATCGTACTTGCTCGGAGCGAAAGCTTCTATGACCGATTTCGGTACCGATTTCACCGAAGGAGATGGAAAGAGACAAAAATCCCCACAGACCTGATCCTATCGCCAACAAAGCAATCAACTTAATTGCATGTAACAAGACACCCGAGGTTGAACTCCGTGACCTCAGCTGACCTCCGGTGACCGCCAGTGACCTCTCTGACCTCTCTGACCCCGGCTGACCGCTCATCGACCCTGTCTATATAAATTCAATCACAGCGCAGCTGCTCTAATGGCTGAGGGGCTTACTGCGGACTGGCTCACGGTGAGTTCGATGAGTCGAAGGAATGGATCCGGCACCACTAATCTCGATGTAAGCGACATGAAGTCATGAAGGAACATGGTCGGCGATGAACAAAGTGCGCTTCAAGTCATGCTTGTCTACTCCTAAACAGGCATGCGGGAAGGAAAACGTCTTTTGTAGTGGACGATAATTTTTAGTGGCAAAGTCATGCTCCGCTCGTGGACAAGGAAAGGGATCCACCGATAACAACAACATGGAAATAAATTCCGCGAAACATCAACGCTGCACGCGGCTGAACAGGCTCTCGAAAACAACACAGAAGAACGAGCGTTTTTGTGTGACAAACCTCCAGTAACCCATCCCGAATCCCGATTCATGCAAGAAGCCAGCACATCGCAAGGCGAGACCAGCAAGACCCATCTGCAGCGTCTCTGCTCTGCCGGCTGGGGACGGGCGGCGCGGCGGCTGGGGACGGCTCGTCCACGTAATCCCGGCCCGTTTGATCGATCGCGGAACGCCCTCCGATTGGACGAGCCGGCCGCCGGGAAAATGTCCGCGAGCGCAGCGCCCCGCCGGCGCTCCCGTCGAAGATGGCACCCCGTCGACGCCGACGGCAGATCGCGGGGCGGGGACGTCTTTGTTTTACGGAGCGAGACCTACCATCAGGGTTTCCGGAGCTCTAAATTAGTTCATGGAATGTCGCTGTAGTATAAAGGCATTTTTGTTCTAATTGCATGTAGTCGCTAAGGCAATTTGGAAGTCCCCAAGGAGCCAATGAATAAAATGAAAGCTGTAATGTAGTCCAAAGTAACAAACTATCTCATTTGACAGATGACATATTAATCATAAGACTATGAGACAATGTAAGTTCCCCGCAAATAAATAACCCATCGTTCTCCTTCCTTCGCTCTTCTAAAGAGGTAATCTACTATTTTCCTCTCTTTCTCGAAAAATGCTCAATAATTAGCCAAACCCTTTTGCCGTCATGCATCATTCTCTGCTACAGCCCACAGCGCCCCTGTCCCACTCCGGGTGTCCCCTGTCCCATCCAGGACGCCCCCTGTCCCACTCCGGGTGTCCCCTGTCCCATCCAGGACGCCCCCTGTCCCACTCCGGGACGCCCCTGTCCCACTCCGGGCGCCCCCTGTCCCACTCCGGGCGCCCCCTGTCCCACTGTATCTGTCCCGACGACCCGGCGTTTCTCCATCGGGATGGTCGTCCCTAATGAGTCCCCATTCGAATCCAGGTGTAATTGCTCTGGGAACGGCCGGCGTGGCGCGCCTCTAATCAGGCCCTCTGCCAGCTCGATATCGACATTTCGGAGCCGGACAGAGGGGTGGAGCGGGCAGAGGGGTGGGGAGGACAGCGCCGGCCATGGGGACTGTATATTAGTTTAAAGTCAGGATCCGTCAGCTACCGTGGAAATCGAAATATTGATGTCGCAACTACGACGGGGAGTGCGGGAGATGTCACGGGCAGCGAGTGCACTTACTTGGTGGAAGCCCAGGTAGTTTTCGATGGTGTGCGTCGAGAAGAAGACCTCGCCCTCACAGTCGAGGATGAAGAGGAACCCGTTTAGTGCCTGCGGGAACGTAGAACATTGTAAGACAAAGACCACTTCTACTTTCATTCCAGATTGACATCCTTTGGTTAGAGTACATACATAGGTACAGTTATTTTTCCTCCTCGAGCCTCTTGAACTATTCAGCGCCAATTTAAATGGAAGCAAGACCAAAGTCTTTCTAGCAACTGGTCTTTCTGTCAGAAGCAGCTGGCTCTCCCATGCACCACACCATCGCCCTCCTCCCATCTCCGCCCGGTGCCTGACTCAGTCTCGTGGTGCTCCCAGCCGGGTGATGACGTCACCGGCTGGCGTGACCGCAGCCCGGCGTGACACTTCTCGCATGTGGAAACCGGTAAATTAATGTGCGAACGGCACCGGCCCGAGGGGCACGTTCGCATGGCACGCCATCGCCGGCGGTCAGCGCCGAACAGCTGATCGGCCCCTGCTCTGCCGCCGAGCGCTGGAGTGGGTGGTGGGGGTGTGGTACTGGGTGGTGGTGGACAGGGGTCTGACGATGGTGGATACAGGAGGGGCGAGACTACGGGCGAGAGTCTCATCTTGCAGTGACGATATAAGGGGATGGGAGAGTAGTGCAAGTCCGGTGGGAAGGAGAGGATGATGGGGGCATTGACTATTGATTCTCTCTCTTTCTCTCCTATCTTTCTCTCCCTCCCTGCCACCCTCTCTCTCCCACTCTCCTCCCTTTTCCTCTCTCTCCCACCTCGTTCTCCCTCACCTTCTCTCTCTCTCCCTCCCTCTCTCTCTCTCTCTCTCTCTCTCTCTCTCTCTCTCTCTCTCTCTCTCTCTCCCATTCCTCTCTCTACCGCGGAGGACGGTACCCACCTGAAGGAACGCCTCGCCGTCCAGAGACGAGTCGTAGCCGAGCATGCCTTCCCGCCGATACTGCGACTCCATCGTGTCCTCCTTGTTGTACAGAGACGCAGACACTGCGGAAAGAGGGACGGCTGGTCAGTGGAGTGATCGGCACGAGCGAGTTGATCGTCAGAATATCTAGCTGCATCAGAAAGAAACAAAGAGTGGTGATGAGATGATGATTGGTGTTGGCTGGTGGGTACATCTTAGGATTCAACGCTTTGGATAGGATGCAAAGTTAGTTGTAATTTATTGGCATTTCTGGATGTAAGAAATGCTCCAGGCATGATGATGACATCATATCTTATGTTAATAAACATATTGTTTGACTGCATAAATGCAAGGTATCATAATTCATGACGTTTTCTTATCGTGCGACAAATTACACCTACTAAGCCTAGCCTTCTCACCAAATTTGCATAGACATGCCGAAAGTGGGGAAAAATATTCACCTTATCATTAGGTGTATACAATGTTGGAATATCTGCTTGTTAATGTTTTTAACACTAAGCGAAAATGAATTCCAGTGAAGTACTTTGCTGTGTATTTATTACAACGTGCAGGGTGTTTATGCAGCATGGAGTTGAGCTGTGTGCTTTAGGTGGGTCTCATTTCCCGGTGGCGGCGACCGGCTTATACCGACCGCTCGGCCAATCCATTCCATCTATGACTGTAACGTCGCTGAAGCCGTCCGAGCCCGTCTAATCCCGGCCGCTGAAATAATTACCCAAGTAGCTGGGCGCCGGGCCGCGCCGCCCGGGCGGCTTTGGCGCCGCTAAGCGTCTTGGGCCGATACCAGGAACGGAAACAGCTCTCTGTTTAATGTGCCACCGGCCGATGGCATCATACCTGTCTTTGTCGCAGCTGCCGACAGGGCTCGGGCTGGGCGGATTCACATCGATTCCGCCACCCCACCCTCCCGCGGACCCCCCCCCCCCCCAGCTCGGTGAGTCGGGCGCCCCGGCCCCCGGAGCCAGGGGAGCGACCCCGTCCCCCGTCCCGGCCCCGGCGCGCGCCCCTGCGACCCGGCAATTTCTCGCCCTATAATTTATCCCGCGGGTAGTGGGAGTCGGTGTTTTCCGGGGAAACTGGCGGGTATGCATTGCTGCAAATAAGGCCCCGGTCGATGGCGGCCAAGTGCTGGTAAATATTTGATTGTAGCTGATCAATCCTCCCCAGATGCTATCCGTGGATCCCTGTAGCTTTGGTGGCACAGAATCCGGCCGGAAACCCAGGCCGCCAGGTAAAGTTGACCTGTAAGGTGGTTTCATGTTTAATCTGAACTGGTTAAATTGCTAATTTTTCATGATTTCTTGATATTTTCAGGTGCTATTCGACTCAGCACGTCACTGAAAAACCGAGCAGAAACCGAGAAACCGAGCCATTGAGCATCTTCTCAAAGAAGGGATACACTGTGTGCTTAAAGTTTGTTGCTTTATTTTCGTGGGCAACTGATTGCCAATTTCAACCGAATACTGTTCGAGTGACAATGGTTCAGCCCACTTCAACTGTATATGACAAATGTCTTAATTAAACGGCAAGTATTTCACCCTAAGGACCTGCCATTAATCAAATATAAATGCCTTCTGCCGGCTAGCACCAGCGTATAAGTTTTCAACAATGAGAAATAAGACAGCTCCTCACAGCACAGTAAGTAGGCACAAGTCTGTCTTACCAAAAATACAAATACCTACGGCCAAACTCGAAGCTCGTTAAGTATGGACACTGACGCTATGGATAATAGATTATCTTGCAATGTAATCAAGTGTTTCACCATAAACATTACAGTAAATCATACATAAGTACCCTCGCTGACGTTTATTTCCGTTTGCTTAATTTTAATGGAAATCAGATGGATTAGTAACCTTTTGCTCATAACTAATGTAAGCCAAAAACAAATCCAAAATATATTTTCGGTGCTGGACCTTCTTCAGTGGAATGACAATTTTTTTTTTGTCATTCCACTGAAGAAGGTCCAGCACCGAAAATATATTTTGGATTTGTTTTTGGCTTACATTAGTTATGAGCAAAAGGTTACTAATCCATCTGATTTCCATTATAATCATAATCATGCTCAAAAAAACGTTTCACACCATTCAATTGCTTAATTTTTGGTAATTACACTCAAATTAGGTCCAACGATGCAGTATATTTTAAAGAATGATAACAGGAGTTTCCGAGCCGCCTCTCTCTACTAACACACCACGTCATCACTCATAGATAATAGATGTAAACATATTGTAAGTGTATTTAACTAGAGTGTGAAAAGCAAAACTTGAAACACACATCTAAGCACCTTTCAGTAAATATCTTCTCACCGTGTTTTCAAGTAAAAACAAAGCTATTTGTTTCATTTAACCAAATCGAAAGTTCAAATCCTCCTCCAAATATATCTCCCATTTCATTCCTCCCATTTCGCCGCGGGGGCCCACCCGGTGGACGGTATTTTGAGGGAGTGGGTCCGTCACCATCGCGCTAATAAAGTCGGTCCCGTCGTGCGCGCACCGTCAGCCGACCTCCCCCGGGAGAGGCACACCCGGCTGTTGACGGCGCATGTAAAATATTACACATTACGCTCATTACTTTCCGGTACGTCGTGGCGCCACCGGTCCATTTGTGATGACCCCGCTGGGGTCGGGGGGCGGGGAGGGGCGGGGCTCGTCTTGAGCTAACAGGATTAGCTGCGCGGCCAGTGTCAGTCCGTGACGGCATGGTCGCGCCGGAGGGGTTCGAGATATGTGAGGATGCTTCGGTAGCGTGAAACGCAATCTCAATAATAAAAATAGGTAAGCTCACAGATTAATATGTTTTATTAGGCCGTATTTAGCTGATGCCTATTTTGACCAGCCCAAATCATGCAGCTGATGTGAAGAACAGAGGAAATAAGAGGCATTGCTCTGTGAGCATTGTTTTCATGAGTAAAAAGCAGCCAACAATACATTGCCTCCTCTTTCGAGTCATAAACTAAGATTAATCATAAATTATAAAATACAAATACAATATGCGCAAACGAAGCGTGATTTCATACTTTTATCAACAGTAGCTAACTACCTAATGAGTCGTGCAGCAGAAGCGAGAGTGACAAATGCACCTTCACACCGACGGCTCATTACACCGCCAAACATAGCAGCATCGCCTAGTTCCGGCAGACCATCCCTCACCGGCTAACCAGCGCCCACCGATAAACCGTCTAATGCCGGAATGTTTTTCCATTAGGCCCGAACAGGTCTGCGGCCAGCTAACAACACAGTCCAGTAACGTGCGGTGCGCCGGGTTCCCACAGTAAACACTTTCCATCGGCGACCAGTCGCGCTTGGCGGGCGCCACCGCCCACTGCTGTTGGTATTGCCATCGGTTGTTACTAACGTTTTCCATCCGCAATGCGCCCATTCATTTGCATACTGCAATTGGAACATGCAGGTTTCTTGGAATCATTTCTTTTAATGTGGAAATGAGAACGAGGTCTTCCGCTTTGAGTAGCCACTTCGCTCCATCATTGGTAAGAGCTGTGCGGCACCATCGCGCTCCACACTCGAGTGGCGCCAATTCGGCGCCGCAGGGGCCTCTGTTGGAGGCGTTAGCTCGCAGTAGTTCTACTTACCCGTATAACCCTTGGTATTATACCACCCCTGCGTGATTGACGACCTGGTCCCGCCCAAATTTCGGCCCGTGTGCGACCGCTCAAGGTGCGACAAAGGGCGCCATTCGTTGACGGTGTACACATGGCTCAAAGTGAGCACCGAGCTGGTCTATTTGTCACCCATACCTGGCCGAGGAATTACAATGCCGCTGGCGGCGGCGGCTCGGCCTCCCGTATACCTGTGCCTCGATTACCGTCCATAGCACAGGACCGGCGCCCGGGGCGATATATGACGCACCGACATGCGAGCGCGGCATAAGGCGGCGCGGCGAAGGTGTACCCGGCGCGGGTTTACGCGTCACATGTGCTGTCGTAGACGGCTGCCGGGCGCACCGGCAGAAATTCGAATTTCCCAGGCCGTTGATGAATGAGATTAATGTGCTCGTTTGTTTGGAGGTGCCGGTGTTGTTTCCAATGCTGCCATGGCAACTCAAATTAACTGAGGAACGAGTTGAGTAGTCAGACATGGCAAGGCTATTTCAGGCGGTTTTAGACCGGTAGTTCCAGTTCAAGGCGCCAAACTCGAGGTAACTTGTTTACCCAGTTATCGACAACGTTATCTGACGCCTTTTATCTTGTTTTGGTAAGAGGCTGACCGCATGGAATGGCTTGTATGCGGTATTTCGACATGCCAGAGAAGATTAAGTTTTGATCATTCTCGTCAAAGTATTGATAGGACTCGCGTGCTCTAAAGTGTACTTAGCTACATTTCAGAAATATGTCAGAGGCTTAGTAGTGGCACACGGGTAGCCGTATCTGGATGAACGCTTGCAAGTTTCAGACGTCATGACCTGAACGTTTGAGTCTGAACTTGTCGCACTTGCGACGTCTTCCAGGTGGCCAACTAACCTCGTTCTAAGATCTGTTACTCAGGAGCTCGAGCTTTAATTTTTAACGCCGGGAGATCGCCCATCGCTGGCTCGGCACCGCCAATGTCACCCACATATCAGACATGACCCTGACTCGACCCGCACACACACACCCATCACTCTCCCCGTCACCCGTCCTCTGCATCCGCCGCCTCTCAACCAACTATTTCGCAGTCGGCTTTTTCTCTCTGTGGCCTGCGTCCGACCAGCCTACCTATCAATCATCCGTAACTACGGCCCGGCCAGAGGCGGCCGGCCGAATCTTCAACTCCACCGAAATACCCCTCAGCTGAAGAGATAAAAACAATGACGCGAAAATTGCCTCTGTCCGCCGGCGAGCGGACACTGGGCTCCGGTTTGAGCCGGTGCCGCCGGCCAGGTGCGACAAAAAATCGCCGGCAAAAAGGTCGGGTCACACCGCGTCGGTGGCAGTGGCGGGGTTGGGTTACACGGCGCGCTGCCCGGGGGGACAGTGGGCCGAGCGGAGCGCGACCGGGGCCGGGCGGGGCTGGGACGCGGTGGGACACGGTGGGACAGGGTGGGACAGGGCGGGACAGGAGTTGGG